TTTTTGCAGTAATATTATTCAATAGTGTGTATTGTAATATATTTATATAATAAAAGTGGTGAATAATCGCTATACTCAAAAGTATGGTGTGCATATTAGTGATTCAATTATGTTCATAAAACAATAAACAAATAGTTTTGCTGCTATTACACCCTATACACAGGTTATATATAAGTGTCTGCATGTTTTGTTCACCATAACGAACCACTAAGTTGGTATTGAGAGTCGAAAAGCAACGAGGAGTTACTGCGACACCAGCCAACCACTCGCTGCCACTCCCTCAACAATCGCACTAAACTTTCTCCCCCAACAATACCATTTGTGGTGTTATTACACTATATACAGACGTTATATATAAGTATGTATATATTTTGTTCACCACAACTGTACAGCTAAGCTGATATAGTTAGTTCAGGCACTAAGAGTCGTCGCTATACACACAGTCAGCTGGCGGCTCCCTCACTCATTCAAGGTCACACCCACTAAACTTTCTCCCCCAACATTACTATTTGCAGTGCTATTACACTATATACACATATTATATATAAATATCTACATGTTTTATGCACCGTAACTGTACACCTAAGCTTGTAGTGCGCCCAAAGAGCATAGTGGCCACCCTCTAAACAGCTAAACAAATCATGCAGACGACGTCACCGCCGTCACCCAAATGGCTCCTCCCAGCATAATCCTTTTGCTGTTATTACACTAATACACACATTATATATAAGTATCTACATTTGTGTTCACCATAGAGAACCACTGAGCTGGTATGGTGAATGCAAACAATAACAGGTGGCCACACAGTCAGTAAACGATGCTGTCTCCCTCCGTCTCTCAGCATCGTTCCTCCCACAGCGCTAATTATTACAACAATCCTCCTATTATCACAACCCTGGTTATTTATATCAGTCAGGGGTCATCTGTAATATTGTCATCGCTAAATAATAACAATTATATATTTATTTTGACATTTTTTGGCGATGCTGTGGTCACAAGCTGAACAGCAATGCTTTTTGCTCATGCTGCGTGCGCCAGCCTTGGTTGCTCCAACAGTACTGTGCCTCTCACACCTGAGAATATTGCCCACGATTTAATAAAAAAATGGTGTCTGTTAACAAGAGCCCTGAGGAAGCTAATGTGAACCCCGTGTAGCCGCGGGCCATTTGAATCGGGCCTGGCACCCTTGGGCGTACATATACACCATGCGCACGGTGGGACATGTTGCTCAGAGCGTATATATATGCCATGCGCAGTTTAAGGGTTAAGACAAGTTTTCCACATAACGAGCTCGGTGCCAGAACGGATTAAACTCGTTAATCGAGGTGCCACTGTACCTAAATATTTACATTCTTTTCAGAATTTTTTTTTTTTTACCCTCTTACAGGCACATGGCAAAGCAGACCAGTCTTAAGCGGATGCAGAGCTACAACTCGACCGATAGACTGGATCTGCACTACCCAAGGATGACCAATTCAGATGGATTCTGCCAGTACAGTTCTTCACAGGACTACAAGGTCTCCAACAGGAAACCTTAGCACAGGTTTGGACATGGTTCAGGGACACCTTCGAGGAGCACCTTTCCAGACGACACTTCGCCCATTCCAGTCAGACCACCTATGGTGGTGTGGAAGAGAGGGAAATCCCTGAAGCAACCTGGCACATGGCAAAGCAGACCAGTCTTACACGGATGTAGAGCTACAACTCTCCCAATAGACTGGATCTGCACTACCCAAGGACGACCAATCCAGGTGGATTCTGCCAGTAGAGTTCTTCACTGGACTAGCGACTTCTTTACAGGTGACCTCAGCCAAAGGACAACCCATCCTTAACCTAACCTGACCCCAGACATAAGGGACGTGACGAGCGTGCTACAGACGTTTCCGAGACTGGGGCCAAGAGGTTGAGTGAGCCCCCTATGCAAAAACCTGCCCTGCCCTGCCCTGCCCGACTGACTGCCCGACCGCCCGCCCGCCCGACTGACTGACTGATTGGCCAACCGCCCGCCTGAGTGACTGACTGACTGACTGACTGATTGACTGACTGACTGACTGACTGACTGACTGCCCGACCACCTGCCTGACTGATTGACTGACTGACTGCCCGACCGCCCGCCCGACTGACTGACTGACTGCCCGACTGACTGACTGCCCAACCGCCCGCCCGACTGCTTGCCCGACTGACTGACTGCCCAACTGCCTGCCCGACTGACCGCCCGACTGACCACCCGACCGACTGACTAACTGACTGCCCGCTCAACTGATTGTCCGACCGCCTGCCCAACTGACTGACTGCCCGACCTCCCTCCCGACTGACTGACTGCATGCCCAACCGCCCGCCCGACTGACTGACTGCCCGACTGCCCACTCGACTGACTGCCCGACCACCCGCCCGACTGCCTGTCTGACTGACTGACTACCTGCCAGACTGACTACCCGACCACCCGACTGACTACCCGACCGCCTGACTGCCCACCCGCCCGCCCGACTGACTGCCCAACCGCCCGCCTGATTGACTGCCTGCCAGACTGCCCGACACCCCGCTCGACTGACTGACTGCCTGCCAGACTGCCCGACACCCCTCTCGACTGACTGACTGACCGATTGACTGACCGGCTGAATGACTGACCGCCCGACTGACTGACTGCCCGACCGCCTGCCCGACTGACTGCCCGACCGCCAGCCTGACTGACTGCCCGACCGCCTGCCCAACTGACTGCCGAACCATCTGCCCGACTGACTGACTGCCCGCCAGATTGCCCGACACCCTGCCTGCCCGACTGATTGACTGCCTGACTGCCCGCCCGACTGACTGCCCGACCGCCCACCTGACTAACTGCCCGACTGCCCACCCGACTGATTGCTTTACTGCCCGCCCGATTGATTGCCCGACTGCCCGGCTGACTGACTGACTGCCCGCCTGCCCTCTCGACTGATTGCCCGACCACCTGCCCATCTGACTGACTGACTGACTGCCCGACCGCCCGCCTGACTGACTGCCAACCAGACTGACTGCCAGACCAACTGCCCAACTACCTGCCCGCCCGACTGCCCGACACCCTGCCCGACTGACTGACCGCCCGAATGACTGACTGACCGCCCAACCGACCGACCAACTAACTGACTGACTGACTAGTGCCCAGACTGACTGACTGCCCGGACTGACTAGTGCCCGGACTGACTGACTGCCCGGACAGACTGACTGACTGACTGACAGACTTATATACAAGAAGGTACAGTGGGTTTGCGAGAGTACATAACTTTGGTGTTCTGAAACCAACATCAAACTTATGTTGTTTACAAACTGTGACTGGTTGCTACCATAACTGAATGCCTAACTGCCTTTGACTGTGAATGCCTAACTGACTTGTGACTGTGAATGCCTAACTGACTTGTGACTGTGAATGCCTGACTGACTTGTGACTGTGAATGCCTGACTGACTTGTGACTGTGAATGCCTGACTGACTTGTGACTGTGAATGCCTGACTGACTTGTGACTGTGAATGCCTGACTGACTTGTGACTGTGAATGCCTGACTGACTTGTGACTTGACCATGGCTGCCATTGACTGGTTGTAACTGTGACTAGCTCTGACTACATGCTGCATAACAGAAGAATTAGAATCTGTGAAGGGAAAATGTAACCACTGGCCTAGTGAGGGCAAGGTTGTCACAACAAACACAATACTGGCCTCCAGTTTAACACATACCTGACTCTGTAAACTCAATACCGTATTCCGGATTTAACGGAATATATAATACTTATATACTTATATATAACCTATGTATAAAGTGTAATAACAGTAAAACTATTTGTTTATTGTTTTATGAACATAATAATTGAATCACTAATATGCACACCATACTTTTGAGTATAGCGATGATTCACCACTTTTATTATATAAATCTATCACACTACACACTATTGAATAATATTACTGCAAAAAAACTAAGAAAAATCAATCAGAGATATTGAAATAATTAGGTAATAATATCTTTGTGGCAACTCCCACCTGTCAGCTCGGGTAACGCTGACCGCCACTGACGACCACTCTGTCAACGCCCACATTTTGCCAGACTTCCTCGGCCTATTGCGGCCAAAATATATCACCTACGATTTATTTTTTTATTTTTCCCGTGCTCAGGAACACAAATTAACATTTTTAGAAGATGAAATAATTTTTTATAATTTTGTTTTCTTGCGCACAGGGGTATAAATCTCCTCAGGACCCCTTGGCTGCTTAAGAAACATGGAGCAGCCTACCTGCCGAACACCGAACGAAACTTTTGCAATACAACAAATGAAAAAAAAAAATTGAACAAATTTGAAGAAAGAAAAATGTCTTAAAGGTTTGTTCAGTGTATGTAAGGTAGGCTTACCTGCTTGACGGGCTTCTAGGAGTTCTTCTACTCCCCAAGCCCGGCCCGAGGCCAGGCTCGACTTGTGAGAGTTTGGTCCACCAGGCTGTTGCTTGGAGCTGCCCGCAGGGCCACATACCCACCACAGCCCGGTTGATCCGGAACTTCTCTTAGAAAACAGTCCAGTTTTCTCTTGAAAATGTCCACGGTTGTTCCGGCAATATTTCTTATAGTCGCTGGGAGGACGTTGAAGGCTGCTCCATTATTTAAAACATCGAATGTCATATTGATGTTTTTCGGTGGTAGAACGGATTAGTTTGTCGCATTATTGTCAATGGGGACATTCGTTTTGTATGACATCTGTTTCACATGGCTATTATGACGCCGGAAAGGATTAAATTCGTTATTCGAGATACCACTGTATACTGTACATGGATGGGCTCTTGATGGAGGTTAAGGCAAGAATGTTAGACCGAGAAGTAACCTTGCAAATAATATGCCATATTTGGTGTATGCAGATGATACAGTTCATTTAGCAAAGTGAAAGAAAACAATGTACACATCTTGACAAATTTACCAACATGTTAGCGTACAAATATAAATTGTGAATAAATTGTAATTTACAAAACTATTAAAACTTACATGTTATCATCTGGAGGCTTATATTTGAGTATTCGTAACATGCCCAACATCCTTACTGCCATCTGCTCGGGCTCCTCTTCTCGAATATCTAATTTGTTTTTCATGTCAATTTCAGCAAAAACATCGTTAAGTATCTGCAAGACCATATATAAATTTTAAAAGATTCTTATTTTACACTAACAGTAAAAAAACAGCATTGAATGTAATGAAACGCCATTTTCTGGGCGATACCTGGAGGCTCCCCGGAGCTTACTAGGCTGATATGCTAATGCCAGACTTTGGCATCAGTCATGTGTATGGAGTTCTATGGGCCTACCAGGGACCACAAGCCAGAACCTGGCCTCCCTCAGAGGAGGCAAGGGGAGCAATGGCCTATAGAAACCCCCGTGTGATTGGAAGCATTCTATGTCTGCCATCGACCAGGTCAGGCACCCAGAAATGTAAGCATCCCAAAACAAACCGCTATTCTGGTAAATATATTGCTACCAAAAGCCGAACAAGTGGATAGAACTCCCCTAAACAAAACGAGCAAACTAGTGTGATGTCACCCGTTGCTGCAGCACCATCTGCGCAGCTCCCTCCTCCCCGGGAGGGGGAAGGGAGAGCCCCAGACCCCACATGCCAGCTATCCACCTTTTAGTTCTTAGGCTGGATGTCAAAACATGCGAAAAACTGCCGACTGGAGGGAGGGATGCCGGGAAGCCTCCAGGTCTCATCCAGAAAATGGCGTTTCATTACATTCAACACTGGTTTTCTGCCTTCGGCTCCCCGGAGCTAACTACCCACAGAGGAAAAAACTTAGGGACTTACCGGGGAAGCGGTTGCTGCTCACTCCTCAACTCGAAGTCGAGACAACTGGCTACAACCGCTGAATCAAAGTGACACTGACCCAACTAGGCCCAGGGACATTCACAAGGTACCAAGCAGCCAGGACCCTGTTTGACCGCCAAAAGCTCCGCACCCGAATGTCAGCCCACGACGTTTTGCCAAAGACGGCAGCAAGAGCAGCGAACTTACGAACTTCATGGCCATGGGAATAGACCGCAGGCTGGCTAGCCTTAATAACTCTGCAGATGACCAGGGAGACCCGCACCCGCGAACAGGGAAGAAGGGAAACCGGATCGACCCAAAGCGCGTCCCTGGACACAGAAGCCATGGCACGCAAATAACGGCGAAGAGCTGCAACTGGACACAAAACATGATGCATACCTGGCCTAACCAACCAAGTATCCACAACCCAGGGACCCCTCCAGAAAGCAGCAGTCTCATTCTTTGCCAGAAAAGAAGGAGACGGCTGCAAACGAACAAAACCATCACGAAGACCGAAAGAGCAGAAACCCCTGCGCCAGAGGAGAGCATGAAGCTCATCAACCTGACCCCTAGAGGCCAATGCCAACAGAAAAAGAACCTTGGAGAAACAATCCTGATCCGAAGGGGCCACAACAAACCGAGGAGAAAAAAGATAAGAGAGCACTCTGTCCAGGACCAGGATGGCTCAGGCGGCGCATGAGCAGGCCGGAGGTGAAACAACGCCCGACACAGCTTGCAAAATGGTGCAGAAGTAACATCAATACCGAAAGCAAGCTTTAGCGGCTCCGCCAGCGCTGCATGATACAAGGCGACAATGTTGGGCATAAGGTGACGGTCCTGGAACAAACAAGAGAGAAAGGACAACACCACCCTAACAGAAAGCGAAGTACTGTACAACGACGAAGACGCAGGAATAAATGGACGGGCCGGCAGGAAACTTTGTACTGCCGCCGAGACGAAACTCGCAGGTGGGACACTAACAAGGAAGCCACCTGATGACCATAGAGATAATGAGAAACTCGTGTCAAAAATACCTTACGTGAAGACTCGAGAAGATCGAACCAGCCATGTGACGTTCTGGTCCGATCTGCTGGAACAGGCGGAGCCGTGGGAAACCTCCGGATTCGGACACCAAGCAAGCAGCGCCTGAAACCATGGCTGGGCTGGACACCACGGAGCCAAGAGGACAACTCTCCCCAGGTAAGTCTCCAAGCGAGTCAGGACCTGGAGCAACAGCTGAACCGGGAAAAAAGAGGTACAGGAACCCCCACCTCTGCCAGTCCTGCCGAAAGGCATTGACCCTGACGACCTCGCAGTTGGGGAAAGGGGCCACATACAGGGGGAAGGCATCTCGACCACACCGATGCGAAGAGGTCCACCTCGGGAAGATCGAACGTCCGGCAAAGCCAACTGAAGGAGTTGTTGTCGACCATTCATTCCGTGGAGAGGGGAATGAAACGGGACAGGCTGTCGGCCAAGACGTTGGACACACCCCACACGTGAACTGTCAAGAGAGCCAAACCCCGAGAACTCAGCAGACGAGTCACCCGAAGCGACCAGCGCCAAAGAGCCAAGGACTGCATCAAACCCCCCCCCCCCCCCCCCCCCCCCCCCCCCCCCGGTTCAGATAATGAACCACCAGGGAGCAATCCGAAAGGAGCCAGATCATCGATCCCCGGGCAAACCAAACCCTCCGAAGAGCAAACCACACCGCCGTGAACTCCCGCACCGTGCTGTGAACTCGACGGAAGGACGGACCCCACCGTCCCTGGCCAGCCTGGTGAGCACTGGTCACAAAACCCCAGCCGAGAGACGACACGTCCGTGAACACATCAAGCGAGGGCTCAAGTAGGTGCCAAGGCACTGAACCCTGAAAAACCCCTTAGAGGAAGCCGGTGATGCAGCAGCCGACGCAAGGCCCCGGGGTCCGAACCCAGTGACCGCAAGAGAGGCGGAAGGGACATCCCCGAAGGAACCAGAACAGCCGACAAAGCCAAACCCAATCCGGGGGGTAGACCATCATCGCGAAGTTCCGGCTCTCGCACAGACCCTCAAGCAACCGCCGGGTGACCCGGGAGCACTCCAGAAACAGGCGCAAGCAGGACAAGCAGGACCTCAGCCGCAGGAGATACTCCAGAGGGAGAAACAAGGAAGCGGACAGTGTCCCATACAAGACCCAGCCATGTCCGAACCTGGGAGGGAACCAAATGGGACTTCCTCCAGTTCACCAAGAACCCAAGCCCGGCAAGCTGGGAAAGAACCAAATCCCTGACTAGCAGATAACTGGACTGGTTGGGAGCCCAAACCAGCCAGTCGTCGAGGTAGGCCAACATCTGAACATCCAAACACCTAAGAGACGCAGACGGGCCACAACGACCCGTGTAAGGTGCGTGAACACGCGAGGTGCCAGGTTTTTTTGTTGACGCTTTGACGCATCTTCAACAGACCCGAAGACGTGAGGTTGGAGTCGAGACACGAGCTGTCTGCGCAGCTCCCCCCCCCCCCCTTTCCCTGTTCCGGGGAGGGGGAAATTGCGCAGACAGCGGCGCGTTGACGTGTGACGTCATGATCATTTGCTCGTTTCGTTTAAGGGAGTTCTATCCACTTGTCTGGCTTTTGGTAGCAATATTTTCACCAGAATAGGGGTTTGTTTTGGGATGCTTACCTTTCTGGGTGCCTGACCAGGTCGATGGCAGACACAGAATGCTTCCAACCACACGGGGGTTTCTATAGGCCATTGCTTCCCTTGCCTCTTCTGGGGAGGCCAAGTTCTGGCTCGTGGTCCCCAGTAGGCCCATAGAACTCCATACACATGACTGATGCCAAAGTCTGACAATAGCATATCAGCCTAGTAAGCTCCAGTGAGCCGAAGGGGATCCCTCCAGAAAAGACAGCTGGATATACCGTTTTCTCAGTTAGATTTTAGATAAATGAATAATTTCCTTCAAATACACTTTTAATAACTATAATTTGATAAAGGTGCAAAGTTAGGAATAGCTTTGTTATCATACACAACATGATAAATTTAGAATAAAAAAACCAGGGACGAATTTAATGAAATGCCACTTTTTGGTAGAGCACTGGTAATTTCCTGTAGCTATCTCACCAAGATTGATCCATACTCCAACTGCCAACAGTCATTAGAGTATGGCCAATGCCAACATAATTAGAGTCTTGGAAAAACAATCTTGAACCGAACGGGCCACCACGAACCAAGGAGAAGAGAGATAGGAGAGCATCCTGTCTAAGGACCAGGACAGTTCAAGCAGCGCATGAGCAGGCTAGAGGTGAAACAAATCATGAGAAAGTTTACGGAAAGGGGCAGAAGTAACATCGACCACGAATGCAAGCAACAGCAGCTCTGCCAGCACCGCATGATACGAGACGACAGCAGTAGGCATGAAAAACCGGTCCTGAAAGAGCCAAGACAGAAAGGACAAGACAAGCCAATCCAAAACAGAAGACAACCTACGAAGAGAGAGAAAATGGCGAAAAGAACTCCAGGAAACGTCAAACTGTTGTTGAAACGATGCTCTAAGGTGGGACACCTTCAACAAAGCCACCTGATCACCAAACAAATGGCGATAAACCCACGACAAAAAGACCAGAAACAAAGAGCGGAGGAGAAGACCAAGCCAGCTGTGTACCAGACCGGTATGAGCTGCTGGAAGAGGCAGAACTGTGGAAAATGCCCCGGGGTGTGGACACAGAGCAAGCAGTGCCTGAAACCAAAGCTGGGCCAGCCACCAAGTAACCACTAGGACGACTCTCCCGTGGGAAGACTCCAACTGAGCCAGAACCCGAAGCAACAATTAGACTGGGGGAGAGGTACAGGTAACCCCACCTTTGATAACTGCGAAGGCTCCGCAATCGGAGAAAGGTGCCATATAAATGGAGACGTGGACCTCTTCACATCCACGCAGATGTGAAGAGGTCCACCCCTGGGAGCCCGTACGTCTGGCAGAGCCAACCGAAGGAGAGGGTGTCGACCTTATATTCCATGATAGGGGAAGGAACCGAAATAGGCCATCCGCCAGGACATTGGACGCACCCCAGATATGAACTACGCGGAGAGCCAGATCCCGAGAACCAGCAGAGGAGCTTCTCGAAGAGACCAGCCCCAAACAGGCAAGGACTGAAGGATTCCCCACAATTCAGGCAATGAACCACTGGAGAACACAATCCAAATGGAGCTGGATGGTTGAACCCGAGCGACCCGAACCCCTCCGAAGCCACAGCCAACTCGCCGCGAACACCCGCTCCGTGCTGTGAGCCCGACAGAAAGACAGACTCTACTGACCCTGGCCGTCCTGGTGAGCACTAG